GCACGATTTTCAAACTCGTCATACCGCCTCGTCGAACCTCTGACAATTAGAGCAATCTAACTGACACAATAATGATACAAGTAATCCTAAATAATGCACCCCTATGTCTTCTCAAGTTTCGAACCTGATCATTCCCAAATTACCCAAGTCCTGCACCAGGATTCAGTCAGTGATGGAGATGTTGTTTGTGCCTTGTGTGTGTCTGTTCTCTCTCTCTGCCTCTTGTTCCAGTGCCCGCCGATGTTCGCACCAGGAACATCACCGAGCCAAAGGGGGATGTGTAGGATTCCGGTCTTCAAGATAGTGAAACCCCTGAATCTATAAGCGGACACAAACGAACATTGAATCTCTACATTCCACCGGGAAAACTAACGGTCTTCTCCCCAGCCATCTGCGGTCATAAAACTCATGCAGGGTCAGTGAAGGTTTGAAGCATTTCCTGGACTGTTTGGCTATCTCTCAAGAGACGCTAATAAAAGACAGTGCTTTCACAGTGCTTAAAAGCGTTTTACGGGCTTTCAGGGACCAGATGCGTGATACCCATGACTGTTCAACGCATAAATTGTTAAATCCGATAAACAGAAAGTGGCAGATTAAGAACGCTCTGTCCAAGAGAAACATGGCAGACTCTCACACTCGTGACACGAGCATGACCCCAGGACACCTCCTCTTTTCCCCCTTTCATTCCAAAGGAAAGAGACAAGATTTCTTTGACAATCTTGCTAATCATTGAAAGTATAAAATTATCAGAGCATAAATTCACAAATAATATGTTGTATGTCTTACATATATATGCTTGATGTGTTCATTTAATCAGTGTAACTTTAAGCAGTGTTTATTACCCCTTTCTAGGAAATGAGGATATTAAAATGTGTGTAATATGTGAAGTTTAATCTTGAACGAATGGAAACGATAAATGCAGAATGTTGAAATGAAGTAAACTTTAATAGTGTGTACAATACTTGCCTTTAAGAGACTTTATAGGAGTATTAACACAACTCTTATAGATGATGTCCTCATGTGATGAATTGAAGTCTCTTGTTAATGTATGCACGCTCCGCCTCGCAAGAAGTCGATTGGAAGATCGCGTCGGGGGACGGACTTATGCAGCGAAACAAAAACCCAATACGGGACAGACTCGAGTGCTAGCTTGCTTGCGGTTTCTCCTGCTCTCGCCTGTCGCCGTGTTAGAGCCCCTACGTGTGCTCACGCGCTTACCATCAGAGCGACCAGCCATCTAAAACTCAACACTTCAGTGATACTTCGTGAAATCTTCACAGAACTTAAAGTCTTGCAAACTCAGACGTTCAGCAGAACTGCTCAAGCCTCTGCTTCATCAAAGACCAACCGATCAACGAGGGGTTTTCCAAAAGAACGTCATTCCGACGTCACCTCAGCGACCAACCAGTAACGGGGTTCCCTCAAAGACATCCGGAAGCCCGCATCAGCTGTCAACTAGCAGAACGCAAGTAAACGAACAACTAACTCTCTAATCTGCTGAACTGGTGAATTTAGATAAGCAGTAAAATTTAAGACGAAATTCTCTGCTTTGGAAATTCTTAAGGCGAATTTACATCACTCGTGAAAACGAGGTAGAACTATGAAACTCAGAACTCCGCTAACATAATTTCCTTCCTCTGAAACTGTATGTTTGTGTGTTTGTGTGTTTTAGCTTAGTGTGATGTAATCTAGAATAGCCAATAAAATTTCATGTTTCATTTATAAATAATCCATTGTCTGGTGTCATATAATTTCAAGGTTAAAACTATTGCCAAAAAGATCCCTTGTTTGCTACCTAGCTCGTGGCTTACTGATAATGATTACCTCTCTCTTTTAAGAGCTTACAAATTATCATAATTGTATTTCACCCGTGGCCAGGGAGAATACAAAATTTACATATTCAATTGGTAATATACACTGACATCAACTTCTCGCTGGCCGAGTAGCTGATAGAGTGTAAACTATCAAATTTAGAATCAATTCGAATCAGGTTGAATTAGGCTCTTCAAATCCGAGTCCTATCAAAACCTGAATCAATAATAATAATTAATTCCCTTACAACTGAGTTAAAATTCCTTACACGGGCGTCGGCGACGTGTCGTGATTCCCTCAGATCGCGTCTTTGATAATTCACACTGCGTGATTGTCACTCGCGTGAACGAGCACCGATTTGCCTCCGATTTCGGGCATTTGTCTGCGATTTCGCAAAACCTGTCGGCGAGTGAAAAATCGGGCTAAAATTGTGCAGTGTGAACTCGGCATTAGTGAGCGCAGTGAGTTTGTTCTGCGGAAGTTTGCACGATATTGCCAACCGACACTATAAACAACCACTACGGTAGACAACCCACATTGCATGTCATGTAAAACCATGTTAGATGGTCTTAAGAAGAACGAGGGTGTTGTCAAGACATCCTCGGTCAGCAGGGCAGTGTGCTTATGAGCATATGAGCCAGACGGAGATGACCTTCCCCCAAATGACCTCTCAAGACTGCACCACTGCATCACACACACAAGACCACAGACGATGTCATTGTTTCCATGGCATTGATCCCCAGCCTGCAGCTAGCAGAGCGCGGCTCTTAAGATCCACTTGGTTGCATGTCTGCACGCCGCGGTGCCCGCGCTGAGACGGATCTGCGAGGCCATGTCGTGAAAAACTGCTTCAGCTTGACAACAAACAGGCTAATTGGTCCCTGTTCCTGGCCTCTGGAGACGGAGAGAGAAAGAGGCTGAGGAAACACATCCTGGAGGTGGGGTGAGCGGGAAAGAGGCTCTCGCTTGTAGTAGCACATGGAGAGTTTTGATTTGGGAAGTCACGGAGACCTCTCATTGAGCTTTACTCACACACATAATGCTCAACGACAACATGAGTGAAGCGTACTTATTCCTTTTCTCGCGTCTTACTACTCTCCATACTCATAGACTTGGTTCTCTAGTTCATGCGCACACTTTCACTCCCTCTCTGGGGAAACGTGACCTGGGGCTGTGCAGTCAGTAAGCACACGTGTTAAAACCAGCTCTCTCTTGGTGCGGCTGAGTCACGCTGAAGTGTAAGGCATCATGGGGAGGGAGCAGCAGCAGCTGGTGTGTGGTGCCCGTCAAATACGCTGCTTTAGAGTGAATCACTCCCTATCATCCTCTGTAATGGACTACTCTAGATCTTGCTCTCTCTCTCTTTGACAAGTGATTTTCTCACTCATTTTCTGTTTATCCGTCTCTTTCTCCAGCTCTTTTATTACCTTGCAAGCACATCTAAAATCCCACCTCTGTGAACTCACAATTATTTTCTCAAGACCTGATGCATAAAGAAGTGTAGCGTTACACAAAAAAGAAAATGTGGTTATTTTATTTCAAGTACTTTAATTATTTTTTATTGACTACTGCAGGGTTTTTTTTATAAATTATTTAGGGCTGGGCAATAAAGTTCAAAGTACACTTCAGCCGTCCATGTTCCGCGACGGTTTGCTCACTGTGCGTGTCATGTAATTTTCGTCAGTAAGGTCCGCGGACATCCACACACATGCACAAGGAGAATGTTCTTGAGACAGGAGAATCCACTAGGTGTCAAACTCATCCATTTGCATTCATCCGTGCTTGAATACACTTTAAAAGCTGCGCAGACACAGCTGTGCGTGAGACGGAGTGGAACGCGGAAAATGAAGTATAGTTGGGCCTCAAAGTTGTCCAACAATGTTCCACTCTCTCCCTATTAGTAACCTGTCACTTAAACAATCACCACAATTAGCATGACAAAGATCCAATCAAGTCCAAATGGAAACAAAATCAAGTCCCGTCCTACATTTTTTCTTGTAGTTTCACTCAGATTTATGTCACAATAAGAAAGAAAAAGCAATCAAAATTTCAGTTTTATGCCGACTTCAAGGTGGAAATTTCCCACAATTCAATTATGGAGTCTGATTCATGGAGTCACCCAAATGATTCATGATACATATACATTTTTTGTTATTGATTATTTTGCGATACAAAGGCAAAACAGTCACTACATATTTTGTTAAATTCAATTCGTTTGTCGGATTTGTTTTTTGTTTAGTTCAGAATCGTTAAGGAAATAATTGTTATGCATTGACTAACTGATTTTAACCCATCTCTGATTAATATGAGAAAATTAAAAAGCATTTAATTTTTTGGTGCTGTGGCTTTGTGGTGCATATAGTCTGACACAGTGCCCATGTTCAAGTTCAAGTCTGGCTCGCAACACGACCATGATCGACCACTTTCTCCCCATAATTTCCTACCCTCTCTCTACTGTGTCTTATCAATAAAGCATTTTTTCCACAAATAAAGTTGCATCTTTGTGGTGGTGAGTCTATTTCAACTGCATTTAAACACAAAAGTGTACACAAAGTGGATGTGACACAGAATACTTTTTAGACCTGAACTTTTTCAATCTCATTGTTCTGTAGAGTTCAAATAAAGATTGGACCAGCGGCCCAAAACAGCAATCAATGGGTTTATTTTGGCAGAGGACTGCCCAGGATAAAAAGCACATTGACTGAACAACATGAAAAGGAATTGACCCTTTTCCTTCTGCCCAGAACACATGAGTGAGTGGAATGGACAGCAGCAGGTCAGAGAGAGAGAGAGAAAGTGCAAAAGAAAGAGGGAGTGAAAAGAACGAAAGAATGACTAACTTTACAGACAAACACAAACAAATCTAAACAGCTGCTGGATTTTATGATGACCTGACAGTGTTTTACATAATTTTACATAATGTATAGACATATTTCTGATGTAAATATACAAACTTTAGCTTATTCTTTAACCTTAGTAGTACTGTTGCATTAAGTGTCTTCTACATATGACCTTAGCAATGTGTCGAAAAAAAAAAAAAGAAACAGAATGCAAAGCACACACATCTCTCTCACACACACCCACTCACTCAATCCTCTGGCCTTTGAGTTTCCTCAAAAACATTCATGAATTCAAGCCTGAAAAGCACACACATATATGAGTGCATGCACCAAAATACATCTGCTGACCTGAGAGCTTCATAAGCAGTTCAGAGGCCACTTTGACGTTGATGTCCTGGCTGAGTAGGCTGCTCTTGCCCAACATCGGGCTCCCCTCCTCTCGTGACTTGGTGGACCCTGGGGGTCCTTCTTGGCAGAAGGTATAGCTTGGTCCCCTCTGAGAGCTCAGGGGCTCTTCCGCCTGGGGCTCCTCCTTGACACAGAATGTACCCTTTAGGGCCTCCTTCTGGTTCGCTGCTGTGGGGCAAGAAAAAGACAAGCAAGAGTTTTGAGAACTATGTCCTGAAGCCCATGTTTTTGTTGATGGCAAGGTTTAAAGTGTATGTGACTGTATGTGTCTTCTTAAGCTGCATGATAGAAATGTGTGATTAAAAATGTGTGTTTTATAGAAGAAATAAAACCATATGGTTTGGAATAATGGATAATTACAGAAATGTCCTTTTTTGGGGTGAACTAACTCTTTAAAATAAGGTATCCAAACATTATGGTTTGTTAGTTAGTTTAGATAAGTCTGCATCAATGCAGAAGATGATTTAGGAGTTTTGTATTTGCTTCTATTAATAATTGTTTGTCTAGCTTTGGCTCCATATTAAAAGAAAGGAAACAAGATAAATAGATCAGGAAGAAATAGGCTAAATTGTCTTTTTGAAATTTGGTGGACATGATGAGCCTTCTGGGGCTAGACCGAAAGCCCAGCAGAAAACAATTTCACAGACAGTTTTATGGAAAATATGGACTGTGTTGTTTCTGAATCATCTAACAGTGTGAACATCTAAAAGTGTGTTTATGCTGACTGTCTGTAATTACACAGAAAATGATTGATGATGATGATATATTTCTGCCGAATTCAGATGAGAGTAAGAAACATTTTTTTCTCACTCAGTATGCTGTAAAAGTGGGCCATTTCTAATCAGGCTTCAATGAATAATTAATATTAAGACATGGAGCCCCTTCTTAATAGTGCCAGGAACAGAACACAGGCCACTGGTTCGATATGACACACACACACACACACACACACACATTTGTTTTCTATGTTGGTTATGACTTGTTTTTATATCTAATGATATTTTCTTTCCCCTAATATTATTGCTAACCCATTTGCATCTTTAGAAAAGTCAGTAAGATTTTTAAATGTTTTTGAAGCAGTCTCTTATTGCTCACCAATTTGGCATTTATTTAATCAAAATTACAGTACAAACAGCAATATAGTAAAATTTAATGATCAATTAAATGCTGAAGTAAGTATTAATTTATTTCAAAATGTTTGAGCGCTAGTGTACAAAAGGCTGGGTTTGGGGGGAAAAAACAGAATGAAACCCACACATCTATTATACAAAACAAAGGTACAATCAAACAGTCAAAGATTCAGATCAAAAGAGTTTAAGTGATGGGTTACAGTACAAAATATACATATTGATGATCCAGAAAGTGTTAATGATGCATTGTCAAGAGGTGAAAGTGCACAACGGATCAGACTGGAAGCCTCGTGTTCTTTTGAATTTGCAATCTGACTAGGTGTGTGGATTCCTTTTTGTCTCTGTTTTAGATTTTAATTAAAATATGATTTAGTAAATTCATTAAACCGTTCTCCTTGTGGATATTGTTGGCTGGTACCCACAAAGCAGGTGATTTCAGGTTTTAATAACCATTTAGGAACATTTGTTTCCCACAATGTAGGTAAAACCTGAACCAGACCCTCAAACACACCTCTCACCGCACCATACATGTGCTGTAAAAGCCAGACCTTCTTATCTTTGTTTACCAATGTGATGTAACCACACAAAGATGAATGACGTGAAACTGACATTTCCTGACAAATGCTACCCAATACCTAAAAGTGATAGTTCGCCCAAAAATGAAAATTCTGTCATTAATTACTCACCGTCATGTCGTTCCAAACCTGTAAGACATTCATTCAGCATAACTACCACGTTCAAGGCCCAGAAAGTGACATCAGTGGTTCAACTTTAATTTTATGAAGCTACGATTCCTTTTTGTCTCTGTTTTAGATTTTAATTAAAATATGATTTAGTAAATTCATTAAACCGTTCTCCTTGTGGATATTGTTGGCTGGTACCCACAAAGCAGGTGATTTCAGGTTTTAATAACCATTTAGGAACATTTGTTTCCCACAATGTAGGTAAAACCTGAACCAGACCCTCAAACACACCTCTCACCGCACCATACATGTGCTGTAAAAGCCAGACCTTCTTATCTTTGTTTACCAATGTGATGTAACCACACAAAGATGAATGACGTGAAACTGACATTTCCTGACAAATGCTACCCAATACCTAAAAGTGATAGTTCGCCCAAAAATGAAAATTCTGTCATTAATTACTCACCCTCATGTCGTTCCAAACCTGTAAGACATTCATTCAGCGTAACTACCACGTTCAAGGCCCAGAAAGTGACATCAGTGGTTCAACTTTAATTTTATGAAGCTACGAGAATACGTTTTGTGCGCAAAGAAAACAAAAATAATGACTATATTCAACAAATTCGTCTCTTCCGTGTCATTCTTCGACGTGCATTTATGACAGTAACATGATGCACGTTCTGTTGCCGTTTATGCAGGGTCAGAAATCTCTAATATCTTAATTTGTGTTCCGAAGATGAACGAAGGTCTTATGTGTTTGGAACGACATGAGGGTGAGTAATTAATGACAGAATTCTCCTTTTTGGGTGAATTATCCCTTTAAATTATAAATCAAGCTTACAGTTCTGAATCAGGGTAAGGAGGCCATTTTCAACAAAAACATTTTCTTTTTTACATACTTGATCACACTTGTTCATTTTTAACTAAGTGGGCAACTTTTTTTAAATCAAAATGTTATAACTCGATCTTCTCTGCTCATTTACAGTATTCTGCTTAAAATCGCCCCTTTCTTACAACTGACCTCAAAACTGCCTCCATCCATACAACCAACAAATAAACCTCTTTTCTTTTTCTTTTGATAATTCAATCTTTTGAACATACATATGAAAGAAAAATCTCTTGCTACTTCTTTTTCATTGCGACTTTAAGTAACAGAGCGTTTTAACAGAATGTGAAGATGCATTTTCACAGTTAGTGGCATTGTACATCTAGCAAAGCTTTTCATATTGTTCATTTTAAAAATGCATGTACATTTATAACACTATACTTTTATTACCTTGGCTTTAATTAACTAGTAAAATGGGAACACAACGATTATATTTGTTGTAGCTTCCATTCTCCACTGAAGAAGTTGACCCATTCATGGTGACTTCCGCTTCTGAAATCCCTGGAAATGTGAAAAGCGTCCATCTTTAAAGTACTACTTTGATTGGTCCCTACAATCTAGCTGATTTCAGGTTTTACTATCATTGTGGGGATTTTTGTTCTAAACACGCCTTTTCCATGTTTTAAAATCTTTCATTAACACACACTGTAGGCCTACATGCTTTGACACACATTCACAATGTCAAAATTGTCCTACCTATCTCTGATCTCCATATCACACTTCCTCTCCTGTTCTGTCAATCTTTTCCACACAAGTGCCTGCCCATCCTCTTCCCTCCCTCCCTCTCTGACCATTTTTCCTTTCATCTCTCTTACAGATCAGCAGCGATCACTCACCCCTCCTGTCTCTACCACACTCCCCTCAGCAGTCATCTGATCTCCCCACCACCCCAAATCCGAGTACATACACCATCCACGACGGCGCTGACTCTTCTCATCAATCTCCACGAGCTGACCACCGCCTCACTCCTGATTAATGGTGATGTGCATCCGCGACAACATTGAAGGTACAGTCAGGTTAGGAGACAGAACACGACTATGAGCTAAAGATCGTAGGGAGCCATTGGGAGAGTTTATGACCTTCACGTGGAGAGTGCAGGCGGTTGACGAGGTGGCGGCGGGGGTGGTGTATGTGGTGGCACCGGCTGGAAATGTCACCAGTCAGATGTCAGCGGACGGACTTAGTGTGGTCCGGTCAGCACCTGGAAGGGCATCCTCTAATTAAGAGCGTGTCGGGTCGCGTGTCCTATCAGACAGGGACAGGGCGTACGGCACGTGCACAAGAGCCCTCTCTTTCGAAGACATGCAGAAAAGTACAAGCTGGAGACGTGAGTGCGGAGATACAAAGTCACACTACTCTGGTGACCTTTCGGTTTGCAGCTAAAAATAGAGCAAAATTTCCATTCGAATTCATGTTACAGAGAGCGCTGAATAATTTATTAGCTTAATCCGCCAGCCAAGTTTGTTTGTTTTTCCTCATAAGGCATGAATGTCTCCAAAATACCAAAATTAAGCTCAACGAAAATAGCACTTTCTGTTTAGCGACTGTTTTATTAGACTTTCATAAAGGAGTAATCCCAAGTGCCTATCTTGATCTTTCAAATTCCATCCTGTCATCAAATCATCTTTGGCATGAATATTTCCACCGTGGAGGTCTTATGTGGAAGCTGCCATCTTTCTAGCGCCATTCACACTGTCAAGTGTTCAGGATTGAACGGATGTGACTCTTAAATTGTGCTGTTCAAATAAGCAGATCAAACACTGCGTGTATTAACAAATAACTCAAAGTCACACTACTCTGGTGACCTTTCGGTTTGCAGCTAAAAATAGAGCAAAATTTCCATTCGAATTCATGTTACAGAGAGCGCTGAATAATTTATTAGCTTAATCCGCCAGCCAAGTTTGTTTGTTTTTCCTCATAAGGCATGAATGTCTCCAAAATACCAAAATTAAGCTCAACGAAAATAGCACTTTCTGTTTAGCGACTGTTTTATTAGACTTTCATAAAGGAGTAATCCCAAGTGCCTATCTTGATCTTTCAAATTCCATCCTGTCATCAAATCATCTTTGGCATGAATATTTCCACCGTGGAGTTCTTATGTGGAAGCTGCCATCTTTCTAGCTCCATTCACACTGTCAAGTGTTCAGGATTGAACGGATGTGACTCTTAAATTGTGCTGTTCATATAAGCAGATCAAACACTGCGTGTATTAACAAATAACTGAAGTCATGCCCCTGTGAATATGCATGTAACCATAGCGACAGTGACTAAATGATGTATCAAACATGTCAACTTTCATAAACCAGAAAGTCTTACAACTGCATCCAATCGAGGTGTAAGTTGATCAGACATGTGTTATTCCAAACATGTATGATTTTATTTCTCCTGCAGAACAAAAAACAATATATAACAGTTTTGGTTACCAAAAAAAAAACAATCCACTGAGACATTTCTCAAAATATCTTCTTT